TTTTTTTCAGCATACTCTCACACATTTTATATTATAATGGAGCTAATTTTATAGCATGTATTATTGATTTTATTGAAAATTTCTAATAATTTAGTTTTGCTGAAGGATAATAAATGACAGTAAAGTCACGAATATGTATAGTAAAATTATTCTTATCTTGTTATAGATTGTATCAGAAATATATATTGTTGTAGTTGCAATATCTAGATATATCAGTTGATGTGGTATAAATATAAATCAAACATGAGAGCGATCGATGAATCGAAAAATAGAATGAGAAAAATCACACTAGAAAAGAACAACACAGCGAAACACACATATTTACATGGTTCGACAAATTGCGTACCTCCACGGAGTTGCAGAGGATTTTACTACTTGAGGAATTTACACCAGTCGATGAGCTCGACTTACAAGAGGAATCTCTCACTCTTCGTTGCTCTTTCTCTTCTTCTCCCAATGTTCTTCTCTCTCTATACCAAGATACACCGAAGAAAACTCTACACCGAGATACACTGAAGAAGACAAACTTACAAGAGAAATAAACTCAATTTCTCTTTTGCCGCAAGCCACTAAGAAGAAGCCTAGGGAGAACAATCTTCTCCTTCTTCTTCTTCCTCTTCCTTCTGCCGCAAGGAACTGCTCCTCCTTGCACTCCTCTTCCTCTGCCCCGAAGAAACCTTCCTCTATCTCAAGGAAACCGAAGAAGAACTCAAAGCATGACTAATAAACCCAAGGAGAGCCATCCGAAGGTTTTATCACGAACAGGAGGGAGCGAAGAGATGCTTCACTTCACAAAAAAAGTAAGGCGGGAGTGGTTATTTGTGAAGATGTGTGACACTCTAAAGCAAAGTAACCGCCCAAGCATAGTGAACCGAGCTCCACCGTTTCTAACAATTCTCCCACATGGACTGGGAGACCGATACACGGGCAACAATATCTCCTTCCTCAAATTGATCTCCTCCATTAGCGGCATCGCATATATCCTCCACCTTGAATCATCCACCTCTACAACTCAAAGCATCTGTCTTCACTCCAGAAGACCAACTGAAGTTATGCACAACTTCAGTTTCTCAAGAGTAACACCCTCAGTCAACAAATCAACAGTCTCCACATAATTTTGCACCTCCAAGCTATTTCCTAGGTCACTCTTGTTTCTTCTTACAACTCTTACTGCATGAGAAATATTCTGCCTCTGCTGAAAGCCTTTTTCAATAATTTTAGCCTTGTGCCTCTTAGCTCAGTCTTCACCTGGTACATCCACTTGTTGTGCAATGTCTTCTTCCCTGGTGGAAGTTTTGTCAGCTCCCATTTGCTCGAACTTTCATCTTGCAAGATTTCTTCATAGTTCTGTGGTTCTTCAACGTTTGTCTGTGGAACAATATGGATGGGTGCTCCAGACCCACTTTTCTCTTCACTTCCTTAACTTCACTGCCCTGCACTGTGGCCTTTGGTAGATTTCCTACCACATTCAAAGCCCATAAATCCAATATCAAGTCTTCAACATAACTATGAACTGTCAATAATAGTGCATCATGTAATTCTTCAGATACCACATTTGCGCTATCATTCTCCATCTTCTTAGAATCTCTGCAGTTTTTCTTTATGTGGCCAGCCTTGTCACAATTCCAGCAGGTTGCCTGCTTACTAAACTTTGATTTTGATCTCCCTATACTTGAGTTCCTGTCATGCCATCTCCCTCTGAATCAACATTCAGTGCCGAACTCGAACCTGAGACCTCACCAGAATCTTTCATACGAACTTCCTCAGCCAAAATCAAATCACAAATATCATCGTATTTCAGTTTATATTTACCTGTAGAACTGCTAACTGCTTTCCTCTGAATCAACATGCAGTGCCGAACTCGAACCTGAGGCCTCACCAGAATCTTTCATACGAACTTCCTCAGCCAAAATCAAATCACAAATATCATTGTATTTCAGTTTAGATTTACCTACAGAACTGCTAACTGCTATCCTCATGGCTTCCCAACTATCTGACAATGAAACCAACAAGATCAGTGCACATATATCATTATCAAAATCGATTTTCACAGACGACAATTGATTTGTGATAATATTGAAATTATTCAGGTGTTGAGCAACAGAAACATATTTCGTCATCTTCAAATTGAATAACTTCTTCATCAAGTGCACCTTGACATAACGAAACTCTCCCGATTGAACTGATTCTTCCGCTCAGCTCTACTGGCTCGCTCCGTTACGCTCCAGCATCTGACCCTTTTATCGTATATGAGCCATACCCAAAAATTTATGTATCTAAATATTTATCTGATATTTCATCTTATTTATTTATTTAAAAATATATAAGCATAACTTTTAATACGGAGATACATATAATTGTTATAATTGTTGTGAGATATACCAGTTATTGTGGTATATATATAGAAAAAACAATGAGAGCGATATTTGATGAAAGCAAAAAAATAGAATGAGAAAATTCACATTAGATAACAGTAACACAGCGGAACACACAGATTTACGTGATTCGGCAAATTGCCTACGTCCACGAAGTTGCAGAGGATTTCACTAATTGAGGGATTTACACCAGTTGATCATCTCGACTTACAAGAGGAATCTCTCACTCTTCGTTGCTCTCTTTTT